TCAGAAGTAATATTTTCCAGTCATTATACGAGAAGTCTAAGCTTTACCACACAAGTTTCAGAATTCGATCTCGCCACTACTACCAAAGGGGGGTCTACTCCAATTCTTCCTTTTTAATTATATGTTCTTTTATTGTTTTAGCATGCAATGGGAACATTTCATCATTAAAAATTGAAAAAAAAAATGACTAGGATTTAAAATTTCTTAGAAAGATTTGAAATAATAATCTAAAAATTGAATCTAGTTAAAATGTTGTTATGTTGAGATCTAAATTGTTATCGTTGTATGGGACAATCCGATGCGAATTTTCATGTTTATTTGAGCCAATATACGTTATAGTGTATGTGTGGCTTCCCTATCCTAGTGAAATCATGGAACAAAAGCACGACCTTTCTTAGTTTGAGGGTCACAATATGTTTAGCATCGTGTACCAAAAATGTATCTAGGAGAACTTAAGTAGTCATTGCACCTTAGACTAATATCTCTAACCAATAAGGGTTGAAGTTAATTTCCATTGCTTTAGCATATGTTTTTTTTTTAGGATTTTTAGTTTTGAGTGAAAAAAAAAGTTGCACAAGTTGGGAATAAGAGTCTATAAAGCTATAGAGATCAAGAAATATCATGAGGAAAAACTCCTAATCAATTGACTACTCAAGAATAAGGCAAAATTTGCCAAGTTATTATTGTTTGTAATTCTTTTTATTTCTAGGTTATTTTTCCATATGTATGCTTAGGGGTTTAACAAAAAATTACATTGAGGTCAAGAAAGTTTTCTGGGGATGGATTCATATGGATGCATAAAATAAATGTTGTTCAAAAGAAGTGGGGAAGTGTTTATGAAGATTGTGAGTATTTAGGATTAGGAAAGTTCTTAGGAAATTTAAGACACAAATGCATTCATTACGATCTTGGAGTAAGGGAGAGGCTTAAAATGGATTTTCTTGTACAATGTTGGTAGCTAAAGTCTTGATATGGTAATAATAAAATTAATTTTGCTTGAGGGCAAGCAAAAGCCAAGTGTGGGGTATTTTGATATGTGTATATATAATTATATATTTAATGCATATTTCTAACACTTTTAGCTATAATTATGTTTATTTTGGAACAAAAGATGGTTATTATGTTTTAAATATGATATCAGATTCACCCCGCACACCACACTATACGAGGCTCGCCACTCCCACCATGACCACTTGTAGATGTAGTGCTACCACCAGCACGACCCACTAATGTATTTAACTACTCAACATCTGTTAAGGGGAAACCAAATTCAGATAAATAATCAGCGCATAACAAAGCAGAAAATACCTCCTCCATCTTTTGCACACGGGTGGGATCATACAATGGAAGGTCAGTCTCGTGCATACCCATATTGTACTCGGCGTTCATCATCTCGCTGCCATCTTTCCTGCCAAAATTAACGCAAATGGTCTGCAAATCACAGTTAGCCTCAAAAAACGAAGACTATGAGATAAGTTTGTCGATCGGTTTCGCAATCCCATGCGATATCACCTAAGTTACATCTCTGTTCACATTGTTCAACTAATCCTCTAACCCCACCACACTTGCATGCAAGTTCATATTATGGAAGGAGGAATCATTCAAGTCGCCTTTCAATTTTCAAACAACATGATTTGACATAGCTATCTTGTCCATGAGTCCAATCTTCTCCAACTCAAGAGATGCCACTGTAGCCTTTAGCGGCGAAACCTCTTCAACAATATCATCATAACCAACTAACTTACTTTCCAAGACAGCTTTCTCATTTTTCATAATGCATAGTTCACCTCTCACCTTATCCATTTCACCCTGGTACACCGTTTCCACAAGTGACATCCCCCATTTTTTAGAACCAGTTAAAACATTTTTCTTTACGCTTTCTAAATTGAGATGCAGAAATTCCCAGTTAAATAAAACATTTTATAATAACAAAAGTTATTTTATTAAAACCTTGAGGATGTCGTTCATTCATATCCAAACATACATTACCACGTAAAGCATAAAAGGTACTGAAACTACTTATTACAGGCACATATCTTTATTCTACTCAGCACTCTAACTAGACTTCGACAGCCTTACATCCGCTACCTGTGATGCATAAAATGAGTGGATCAGGTTTGGGAAGACCTGGTGAGATGAATAGAGTTCTCAAGCCCATAATAATTTAATGATAAAAATATATAATATCATTCCTAAAAACAAATTTATCAGATAATATAAAATCTGACCTAAGACCAACTACCCAACCCAACCGATCCTCATATATCCTAAAGCAACGATTATATGGAGGAATCACCCAACCTGATGAATCGTTTGAGCAACTGTTTGACCACATAGCTAGGGGATTCCATGGCAAGTGTAAGTCATATATGGAAACCAATGTTCAGAGATTTGATAAATATGGTATCCATTTTATTTACGTTCATGGGGTTATAAGTCGATGTTATCAACGTAATTCACTAGACTGCCTAGAATAGTCAAGTGTTGTCATATACTCTAGTTGATGACCCAGACATACTTGTTAGTTGTCTGATCTGGACCCACCATTTCTGTTCAACCAAGAAAGAGGAGAAACACTCCGCTCTGATCTCACACAATCTACCCTAGTCATGAGACGTATTTGATATCAAGCTTAATTTGAACTAAGCAACCTTTACAAGTCTAATTTATAAACCTAAGGTAAGACTTATAACTAAGGGAAATTGATTTACGCTATGGTTTCTAATCCAATAGTATTAATTACACAAATAGCATATAGCATAGATAGTACAGAAAGCATTTAATGTTTCATATAAATAATGATTTTATTTTGGATTATGATCTTGATAATAACTACGCACTCACCTGACAAAAGTATATGGTGATTGGTGAATCGGGCAGAGCTTTGCCTTACACCTTTTCCAAAAGTCCTAGATGTACATAACGCTAATTCTTAGTCTATTATCCTAAGGGTTTAGATTCCTCAATAGTCCTAAAGTCTACTTTGAAATCTAAATAAGGAATAACCCGGTAGGATTATATCAGAGGTAGGGTCCGTTTGGTATACATAGTATACTGTTTAGAAATCCCACTTTACACACCTCACTAAATCCAGCCTGGACACTACTCTCATGAGTAGATCAAGTAGTATAACGACTTGGAATCATTGATAAATCTTACTTATAAGTTCCTAGTAACAACTTATAACTATGATTACAAATTACACGGAGGAAGAGTAAGTGTAACTCACTTACAGAGTACTATAGATGAGAATCAGGAACGACACAGGAAAATATGACTCGGGATCGCCTACTCGATGGCTACTACTCAGATAAGTACTCAGGGGCATCGCATGGCTTTTCCGAAGGCTAGAAACTTAAGAAAAATGGGGCTACAGGGGGAATCGAGAGAGAGAGAGAGAGAGAGAGAAGAGAGAGAGAGAGAGAGAGAGAGAGAGAGAGAGGAGAGAGAGAGAGAGAGAGAGAGAGAGAGAGAGAGAGAGAGAAAGAGAGAGAGAGAGAGAGAGAGAGAGAGAAGAGAGAGAAAGAGAGAGAGAGAGAGAGAGAGAGAGAGAGAGAGAGAGAGTAGATCTAAGGTTTATAACACATAAAGTTTCCAACTTTACGTGTAAATATCCATGTATGGGATTTTTAGGGTTCAAAATGCACCAAAAGAGTAGATCTAAGGTTTATATGCAATATGGGCTTATAAAGGTAGTGGATCTGAGCTCCTGGAGCTCAACTATGCTTGGATCTAGAGACCAATCAACTTATTTCGAATTATCATGCACATACAAGCTTGGAAATGAGCCAAGAATGTCTTAGATGAAGCCTTAAGCATAGAGACATGGGGAAAATGGGATATACCTCAAAGGAACTGTTGAGAGAACACAATGGTGCTTGGATGGCTTTCCTTCTTCTGGATCTACTTCCCTTTCTCTTCAAAACCTTCAAGAACACACAACAAATGCTTCAACTCTTCAAAGAACAACCTTAAACGAGGTTTGGGAGCTCTAGGTGGTGAATGGTGGCTGACCTGGGGCGGAAAGGGGGATTAAATAGGGTGCAAACCCCAGAAACTTAGGGTTTCATCCAACAGCGGTGACTCGCCGAGTCCATGATATGGACTCGCCGAGTCGCCAACTTAAACGCGTCCCGGGGTCTCGTCCCTACTCGGCAAGTCGGACCTATGACTCGCCGAGTCCAAGGCTTAAAAAGGAAAATACTCAATTAAGATTTACATACCAGGAACCAGGTGCTACAATATGGGTGCCAATCCGTACAATACCAAGTAAAGCCAACAAACCCAACCTACCAAAATAAGACACAAGTACATAGATGATACCAAGCACTAGAGCAAGAACCACCCTATCACCGTACACATCCTACGAAGCATCTCTAAGAAACACGGGAAAGCTAAGACTATTTTGATAAAAATAAGGTTCACCATCGTAATCTAAGGGTTAACACAAAACCCAAAAGAATAAGCTAAGAACCGGTCTAAGCCCCAGCTATAAAAACAAGCCTTCTCCCAACTCGAGAGGTAAGACCTACGCAACCATTAGCGATTCCTACACATTCAATGCTCCGAATATGACTCCTAACTTAGGCATCGGGGAGAATACCGAGGTTCCACCCTTGGGTATGGATTTCTAACCTATATTTGACACATATCTTGCAACGTGTTACTTAGATTGCTCATTAGAAGAGGCTCTAATAGAGACGACCACAAGCATCCGGGTTGCCACGTAGCAACACTATACAAAGGGGTCACTATGGTGAATACAAGTAGTAGTACTACAATAGGAATATTGAAGGTCATTGGATATGACAAACCTAAGTTTCTTTAAAGTCAAAAGAAGCTACATATTGCCTACACAAATCTAGCTTGGGCTTTGATCATTGATAAGTAGCAACAAATAATGAGTTGAACCCAAGTGGGGGAGAACCAACCCATAAGGCTAAAGTGCAAAGAGAACTTTGAATTTCAGTCTCTACATTAAGGATTAGTAGGGTGGAACACAAGTAGACAGAACACATTTGTTTAGGTTTGGGTATTCGGGGTAAAAGAATAATAAAGTCTTCTATTAAGATTACCAATATTCTATGAACTTCTTTCTTCCCAAGGAAAAGTTGGTCTGTCCTCCCAAGCATTAGATAGGATTTAGGAATTTACTAAATTCCCAGGTATGGCTCGGATAACTAAGAGAACAAGATAGGTTCGTTCCCTCAAGAATATGGGATTTCTCTTGGCAGCATATGAGCTGCTAGACAATGAATTCAGTAGGTTGTGTAGTCGCCAATATATAGCATCAAGATTCAGTTATGAAGATACCTCATTGGCTTAGAGGATGCAAAGATCTATTATGATCAAGTAAGGATTATGAAAAGAGAAATCAAGCATCAAGATCCCAGTAGTTGGCTAATACTACGACGTTTCATGAGCAGGTATAGAAACAAATTACTAGAGAAATAGTCATACACTGATAAGTTTCAAGATGTTGGAACATCGTAACCAGGTAGAGAACCCATTTGCAAATCTATATTTGTGTGTTCTTTAAGGGATATGCCATAATTCTTTTAGAGATATATTCCGAAAAAAGTGGATTCCATTAGGATATCATAGATAAATTTCCATAGTTAAGAGCTTCATAACAAGTCGAGTGTGTCGACATTTTATGTCTATATATGCGATCGCCAATCGTAGTATGTAAATTATTAAAGTCCAAACTGATGAGTTCCCGGTTTTGGAACACTTCGCGAGGAGTTCGTGAGTATGTCTAACATAGAAAACGAAGTTCTACGAGAAATTTTGAAGCGACAACGTTGGCTAGATCACGATTTGATCCTGGTAACTCGAATAATATAACGTCTAGGTGCGCTAGGAGCGGGATTTCAAGGATGAAATCTTTGTAAGTGGAGGAGATTTGTAACACCCCATTTTCACCTTTCAATAGGATTTAATATACATTGTTGTTTATAAAATTAGAAGTACAAATATTACACTCTTTATCCTAAGTAATCATCCTAAACATGTAGGAAATGTTGATACAATTTCCATATATATATATATATATATATATATATATATATATATATATATATATATATATATATATATATATATATATATTATATATATATATATATATATATATATATATATATATAACTCTTAAATCCGACTTCATATGAAGAAGTTATGCATCTTCGAATTTTCGTGATTAAACCAACACGGATCTAAGTATCGTAAAGACTGAATTTTAGATACCTTTCTTATTAGTTTAATAAATCTAAATGACAGTCGTAGTAGTCGTAAAACCGAGAGCATACATATAGAGAACAACCAAATCTGACTTCGTATGAGGAAGTTATGATTTTTTGAAGTTTCGATGCAGTTCTATGTGAGAGTTATGATTTTTATACAGACTTTAACAGTCTAAGTCTGTTAAAAATATAAATTTAAAAATAAATTGACAATTAGCTGATGGAGTCTAAATGAAAGTTGTAGATCTCGTCGATGGCTACTCGTGGATATAAAGAAAGTCAAAACTGGATTTCGTATAAAGAAGATACCAATTTTTGAAGTTTCCAGTCGGCGTATCGAGCATATATCATCCACATTGCACCATTGGAAAAGCGACACGTATCGCAAGGAGGGCGGCCGACCAGAGCCAGGGTGTGGTATTTGCCTGGTTTGTGCATAGTACGCCTCCTCAAATTTCAACTATAAGTACCCTTAAGACACCATTTCTCCTTCACACCATCTCTCAATTCTCTCTCAACTTCTAACCAGGTTTTTGGAGGTTTTCCTTTGGGACTTGAAGAATATTTTAGTTAGCGGTGCTCTGGGCATGT